TTGGTGTCGGCGAATCCGTAACGAGGCAGTTAGAGAGCGTGTTTTCGGTTGTGTAACGGGTACTTCCATTGAAGAATGTGTCCAGCACCAGAAGCTGCGTTGGTTGGGTCATGTTTTACGCATGCCGAATCATCGTTTACCGAAAAGAGTACTATTTTCTATACCCGATTCGGAGTGGCGTAAACAGAGAGGTGGCCAACCCATGACCTGGCAGAGGAGTATGAAGGAGATGACGAAACGCTTGGGTGCTGTCGGTGCTACTCGCCTTCCAGGATGGGGACCGCGTGATCCTCACTGTGCCTGGTTGGAGACACTACAAGATATGGCTGCCAACCGATGTCAGTGGCGTTCTTGTTGTCAGTTTCTATCCAGATTGCCTGAGTGAATGTCTGGAGGTGTATGCACCTCGGAATGATTGTGCTAAGCTAGCACTAAGTCCCTTCCCCGTCCACCTTTATTCTTTTCTTTACAATAAGGCTTTCAAATAAGTCATGGTTGTACGGCAGTGAAGCATCGGTGTTGAACACTGATGTCATGCTGTCGGATGATGATGATGCTGTCGATGATGATGATGATGACACGCAGATGTTGCTTGCAAGACTGACGCAGGATGAAGAGTTAGCAGTCCCAAGTGCTGGGCCTACAAAGAGGTACTTATTGGAGGGGTGGGGGGAGAAGTATGTAAAAGATAAAATAAAGTGTCAGTAGTCGTTTACTCCCCCCTGCTGTATCCTGCGAGTAAAGCCATCCGGCTGATAGCACCACGCGACGGCCGATATGGAACGCCGAATTTCCGAAAGAATAAAATTCCTCCACCAGGGCTTTCCGAGAAAGGCATGTTTTGATTTCTTCGTCCGAGATACGGGTGAGTGATTTGAGGACTGATTGTCTTGCTTCAGGATTTCGGATCCGCATCGTCACTTGGGGAAGCGAATTGTATCGATCGGGCGTTTCCTCAGGACTATGTGGCTGACAGTCGATGTTACACTTCGTTCTAGAGTCACAAGCCCAGCCGGTAAATTTTGGGTTGGAGATCAGGCGGACGTTCGCCTTGTGGGACTAAGAATGACGAATAGACACAAAGCAGACAATGCGCTCGTGATGCGCATTGGACATTGGGAGTACGGTCGAAAGGTCGGGACCAGTCAAAACTTTGAGGGCAGATTAATACACTTCTATAATTTCCGCAGTGGTATCAAAACCGGGAAAAAGGATAAGAAACTAAGAAACGGCCAGTAGCTTATAAAGGTAAATGGCAGGATAGCACAGTTGCCTTCCCCAGACAGAGTGAAGGAATGAAATTAATCGGACACTTGTGATTCAGTTGTAAAAATTAGGTCAGCAACGGCCTTCTAGGAAATGGGCTGCAGATAGACTGAGGTAGAACTAGTAAAGGAAAGAAGCAATTCTCAGAAGGATTGCATTGAAGCAACAAATTCGAGAAATGCACCAGTTGCACTGGATGGCTGGATTGCTGAAGTGAGAATACTTGGAAAGCTTACACTTTCGAGGAAGTTAGGGAGGGTTGCCATTCTGGGTGGGCAAGGCAGGTAAACGGTAAGTGAAATCAGTCAATCAACTATCGTGTTCACGCTCTATGAAGCCATGAAGGGTCAACTCTGTAAAAGTCAGAAGACGAAACTGGAGCCGTCCGCGGTGAAAGGCCGAGTCAATATAGTGTAGCAGAGGAGAGACATTTCAAATTCATCTACATTTGAGAAGGTCCAAGTTTCTCATACAAGCACCGGATTTCATTTCAGTGAGCTTGGACCCTTTATCCACGAGACTAGTGCAATTGTCGAAAACGCAAGGGGTCACGTTCTCTATTGAAGTTGGTCGGTTTCTACAATAGCAGATCTACGGAATACATGGTGAAGTGGAATGGAACATAACTGAGTGGGATGTGGTGGACGGTGGAGATCGCGGATTGTGGATGTTCTGGGATCGAGAGACATTGATTCGGGATGACATGGAGCGCCTTCCCATCCGGAGATGACTGGCGGTTGACGTGTGTTGTTGGTCAATTGGGGCGTGTTCGTTTTGGATGAACGTTCATAGGGTCGAAATCCAATCTGAGGGAACATTCGGACCACATGAAGGAAGCAAGTGCGTCTGGCGCAAATGGACAGTCAATTCTAGAGATAGGACTAGCTGCGGGAATGATCCTATCAGCTTGCTGGGCTGCAGGACCATTGGCCGAGTGTTCCGAAAGTGACCAAAAATGGATGTGGGACATCGTTGGATTTTCTGAAGAACCAAGAGGCTCTAACGAATCCCAAGATCGGAGGCATGTTAGCGGGGACCGACACGACGTCACTCGCAACACTGGCAGGGCCAGTATCGGAAAACTGAAGACCTCGAATGAGGATGTTGCAGGCTCCGGGTTAAGCATCGCTTGATTTTCGACTAACTTCCCCAATGAGATGACGGTCGACTTTAAGAGCCAGATAGGTTGAATCGAAGGGGTTAGCGATACAGCACGCATGATTTCTATGCATGATACCTGATGCGCCAGCATGGCTTCGCGGTCGAGGGGAATTTTTAGCCTGAATTGCTGTGGACTGTTGGCAAATGAAAAGTTTTGATGTATTAAAAGCCATTGCAAACTGGAACAGCCTTTAACGGGAGAAAGAAAGTGTTATAGGTGCACTTATGGGACAATCACAGAACTAGAGAATCACTCCCGGACAAGAAGCCGGAAGAGTCCATATCCTTGGTCTCGGAACACTTTAAGACGCGGTTTGGTAGATGGGCAAGCGAGGGGCCTCGCGTACATAGTACAGAGTGCATTCTGGTTTAATTATGTGTACATATAAGTAATTACAAGTAATGGTGACGCACAACCATGCTTATTGAACTTCTGCTCAAAAGGTTTCTTTCCGTTTCACGTTCACAGAAATTGGCGTGAAACCCAACTACACATAGCATGAAGTACGCACGTTCTGGAAGCACGGGGGGACAGTGATTATCCGAAGGTGGGTGTTCACGACAATTTCTGCGGATGAAAAACCGAAAGAAGGCTCACGAGCCGGAGCCTAGTAAGAAAGTATGTACATCACCATCAAATCAAACGAACTAGCAGACACCGTATACTGCAGACATCACCCACGATTTTCAATGACGGGGAAAGGCTGGGAACCAAAAAAGGCCAGGCACGGTTCGACTCATCCAGGCTAACCAATCAGAGCACCCGTCTCCAAGCATTTGGCTGGTTAAAGATATATCTGTCAGGTCACCGTGATATTCGGGCATTCCAAGACGCCATACTTAGAACACGATTATAGCATAATTTCAGTGCAACATGGTCTCAACATTCTGGCCACGGTATGCGCGACCATGAGAACCCGGTCTCCGTTGCGTTGGATTCCCGTCCTATAAGTGACAATTACTCAGTTGGATTAGCTGAAATGTACCTAAGCTCCTCAAACCCGTCGCTGACAGGCTGGGGTATTCTAAGTCCCTTATCCACTCATTGAAAAATCCTTAAGATAGAATATTGCATAAAAAATGGAGCTTGTCACCGACGTAGAATTCATAGAGTACCATTTGTAGTGGAAAATGTTTTACGCTGGTCATTGGGTAAAACCAAGAGGTCTTGAGCAACAGGACTCGAGCATTCCCTGGTTAGTAACAGACTTCATCAGGCTATGTACAACGTTGAAAAATCTTCAGTATGTTCCATGTTGGTGCGTTTGAATCTGCGACAAGGAAGAAAAGTCCAGGCCGCTTGCAGAGGCAACTAAGCGCAGCAGATGGTCCGCAAAGGTTCAGCGCCTCATGCTGCAGTGTGCACACTATGGCAGCACCTGGGTACATTAAGTATTCGAAAGCAGATGTCTGCGACGTTTACTGCAGATTGAAAACAGGAAGAGAACTCATTAGCCGAAGCCCACTAAGGCAGTATAACACCACTAATTGCATATGCACCAACCGAACTGTTGAGCACTATGTTCTCCACTGGCCCTCTTTTTAGGAATACTGTCCCCGGTGTGTCATGGCTTTCGCGAACATGCCGGTGCTGGTGATATGTGGGGCTCAGGAGCGTTTACGGAGGTGGGTGTGTCGACCGTGTATGAGTCCGGAACACGTTGGCCCCATGGCCATTATGTACATGTAGAGAATCAGGGAATATGTGGTGGAATAGTCAATATGTTGTTGCCGCCCTGGCGTGATCGCCAAATATGTACTTTGCACACCAGATTCACTAGGGTGCATGGACTAACCATAGGCAGGCGTTCGCGACAGTTACTGTGGATTGAAAAAAGAAGCGTAGCTCAGGAGCAGAAAATCAGTGAGTACGGTTGTAATCCACTGACAATTATATATAAACAAACCAAAGTGAAAAAATCTGTATTTTACAAATCAAACGTCATAAGTCCTGTCGCGGCTCCGTCCCAGCCGATACGTTCAGAGCTTATGATGACCCTGCCACTCATTTCACAGAAATCAGAGACGTTGGTCTCAGAAGCTCTTGCACCTTTAGTTTCTCTCACGAAGTTTAGTTCCAGGGTACCCAAGCACGCCAACTCGGCTTTCTACTATCACGATTCTTCTATCTTCGAGACATAAAGGTCGCGATTTTCAAGCTATGCGTGCGACCAGTTGTAGAAATTCTGTTGTTTTCTCTTCCCTCCGTATCCAAAGTTTCAGGCCGCACTCGAGAAAGTCCAATCTTCGTTCACCAAAAAGTTATTACCGCAGACTAGCCTCACTCCTACCGTTCCAGCTGTACAATTTTGGGCCTTGGGGTACATTGGCCCAGACAGTCAAGGCTAAATTTAACTCTCTTAAATCGTCTGTTACACCGAAATGCTATCATTGCAGAGGCTAGGTAAAACTTAAATTCATATGCAGGCCATAAGTTCCGTAAATCCAGCAACATTTCAGTGTGCCCTCAAGCGCGCACAAGCCCGAGACAATACTTACTCCCAGTTTACTACACTTGCATTCAGAACAGTCTCTCTGATCGGTTTCGAAATATCACACATCCGCATCGTTTTCACAGTCTGGAGATAAGCTTTTTTACGTGTGAACTGGATCCAGACCACCTCTGAGTTTGGTGAAGGTTTAGTTAGTGATCGGAAAAATAATTAAAACAATAATTAAAAATAATACTCCACCTCCTTATTATACTTTGCTACCTCTTTGACCTACATAAAGCCACTAACACCATGAACCTCTCAGCTGGGTCTCTGCCCTGGACTACCCTATCTGCTCTGTTTAATGAGTGATGCCTCGTGTTTCCTAACCACAACCAACATAAAAACAAGCAAAAGTCAGAGTTTCTCATACCTGAGAAGGTATCATACTCCTCGCAACCCACCCAGCACGTGCACAAAAAAATCGCGGTGCGCCACTGTTCGACTCGACAGCTCACGCTCCGTCAACGCTTGGCCATGTTTCACACACTCTGGCGATCACCGTTCTGTCCCATCATTCCAGTGGTAGCTGCCGCCTCCTTTGCTTCCGTGACATGCCTTTTCCAGCGGCTGTTTGTAGTTTGCTTGTTTGAAATGACTGAGCTGTTTTACTGGTCTGGCTTCCCTCGACCGGATAAAATAGCTGGCAGCTGGAGTTCTTTAATATTACATAAGCCGCAATCATGACTGCTTGGTGGCATGCTGCCTTGCGGATCTGGTAGCATGCACGAGGGATGAAAACCTCGTGTGCTGGTCGGTACGTATCGCAGGGGGATCGCTCTGTTGCGTTGCACCATGTTCCGTTCATATATCCACCATCTCTCCAGTTGCATGGGTGCTACGCCCATCGACGGTGGTTCGGAGCATGGCCTTCATTTCTGGAAATTAATAAAAGAGAACCGTTGTTTTCTGTTTGTTTCTACTGGACCGGACTCGTCCCGGTTGCAATTAAACTAGCAAAGCTACAGGCTACAGACGGTGAAAAAGTGAAAAAAATGAAAAAACCCGCCCCCCGCCTGGTAACAAAAAGAAGTTCTGTGCAAAAACACAGACGTAAAAGTCTGGAGACTCCGTGATTCCCATGGCTTACATCGATATACGGAATTGTAGCTGCCCATTTCATATTTGGGGTGGTATGGCACCAAAACCCACTGAGTCAACCAAACAAAACACACGCCCCTATCTACTGCTCCCAACAATGAACATATACAATGAGGTGTATATGTGTAAGAGTCTCCTGATCCTCCGCTACCAGCATGCAAGTCTAGTACCCAAAGGTCTTTTATTCGCCATGCGCAATCAGTTAACCCCAAGCTGATAGGACTGCTTCGGGGACTGATGACTAGTGCTCGACACAAACTTTCTCTCCTGGTACTGTCCAACTCGGGTAATAAATATCAGAATAACTAGTCGATCATCTCGGATGTTCGCTCCCATCAGTCCCCATACATTTGATTTCTCTGACCACACCACAACTCCGCGAGCTTAAATCGGTTTTCACTAGATCCCCTGTAATTTAATATCATATGTTATCAAACACAAGCCTTGGTCGCTATATTCCTTTGAGGTAGGTTTAACTCAAAAGTCACAAACATGAATGTGTTTTGGTTGTTCGTTCAATTGCCGTTCCTCGGGAAAGCAATACGATCTGCAAAATGATTCACCCGTATTTCTTGGACGAAATGTTCAGTATGACAAGTTAAAATTTCCGTACAGTTTAAATGCGAGTAGCAAGTTCTGCAGAACTGCCGGCGTTATCGCTTCAGCTACCAAACGGACGTCAGCATTTTTAAAACATTTTTCTGTTTTAGAAATGAAATTTTGGGTGCCACTGACCCCTATCCAGTGTTGCTGCCTTTTTGAAGATAACACCAGAATGTTTGAACTCTTTTACCTCAAAGGCCTTTCTCGTGTAAAACTGCGATTATTCGTTGTCCATGTACATATATAAACACTCATTACGTGGTATTTTTTCAATTATATCACCTCTTGATTCCAAAAATTTCAGTAAAAATGCTAAACATGACCTAATCACAATGGTTTTCTTTCCACAGGTGGGTTTGTGAAATCCTCCACGTCCGCCATTGCCCCATTGCGCCTCCTTTTTGTAAATTGAAATGATTCGAACTGACCCGTTGATAATCATTTGAAAACGAATGTTAGATTATTGTTGATATTATATGTTGCCTCTAATGTATATCTGGTAGTAACTGAGAACGGAAACGGCAGAGAAACACAGTGGGTACTTAAACGCAATGTCCTAAAATGAAAACTTCTGGCTCGGAAACATTTTGCGTATCGCGCAACATATTTTATTAATGTGAATTTCCTATTCCCGTTTTTAGACTTTGGACTCGGTAAAATATTAAGTGTAAGGCACGTGCTCGTCGCATCAACAACTCCTGCACTTGCACGATCTTAAGTTCAAAATCTGCAGAAAATCTTGCATACCTAATGAACTTGCTAGAATATACACAAAGACTCTGCAACACCAACTTGCAACGTTAGTAATGGGTTTCAGACTACGATCACTGCAACATTCAGGTGTAGTGGTCTGGCTACCCAATAAGTCAGTTTACCAGAAGTGTGTGGCAAAGAAATAAAATAACGTTAGTTTAGGTATACACAAATAAAGAGGTCAGATGGAACAGACTCACTAACAATTGCTCTCTTTAGAATAGTTTGTCGTTGGCCCGGGTCAACGAATAAACAATAATCCAATTATGTTTGTCCAGAGGTCTTCTTCTGAACGGTTTCCACGTATAATAGATTCCGAAGATGGTCTGAACTGCTTTGGTATCGGAGTTAGTACATGAGACTCGCGAATGACCGCTACAAGCGCGAGCGAAATCAGGAGAGAGAGTTGAAGCACGTGACCACGCTTGTATTATGTAAAATTGTACGAGTGCGCGTTTTTATAGTTTCTCGTATTCAAACAAAAAACGATTATGCAATGGATGAAATACGTAGTGTTATAATGGAAGTAAAATAAAGGTACAAAACGCCACACAGGATAAAACTCATTCTGAAATCGTACTATACTAACCGTGTTAATTGGTCGGGACACAAAGATTCTATCTCAGCCTAAGATACAGATGTCGAGTATATGGTAAAATGTTGGTAGCTTGTGTAACGTAAATGGTCGTTGGTTTCCCCGCTGAGCTTGGCACTTTGATTGCAGGCGTTTCATGACCAGTCGAGGTGACATCATGAGTGCACTGTTAGGGAGCATAATGGTGCGTAGCGATGGCACAGTTTCGATTAAAAAGATGACTTAATCGAGAAGACTTAATTTTCAAAAGAATCAGCGGAACACCCAATGAACAGCAAAACTAACATCGGGGTAAGCAAGTCGACGCAGGTAAGAAAGATTAGGGTGGAATATACTAGCGTACAGCATGACTGTTTAACGATGTAGCTACTGAATTATCTTAGCATCAAGGAAAATAGGTGCGTACCCATAATTCTGTTCTTGATAATAATCGACTGGCGCACCCTTTTGCGTTTCAGTCCATTTTTAAAAACATATCAACCTCAAACAGTTTGAGGAAGCGAATTAGTTTTTTCACGTGTAACAGCTGATACTTTACTCCATGGTAGTGATTTTGGATAAAGGGGCAAGTGTTCTTCCAGTGATATTACTGGAGTTTTTAGAAGTAATCGGTAAATGTTAGAGCTTACGATTATCAGTGCCAATATCGGTTAGTCCTAGAGCAAAATTTCGTGATATAATCAAAGTGGGAGTAAACTAGTGGGTGAGCATTAGTTGAACGGATTATGTGAGTGGTTGAAAATAAACATTGATGAGGTACTAACCGAACTCCGTAAAAGTGGCTGAAGGTAAAAGTTGACTTAATGGTATCCTACACGTTTAGGTGTTGTTAATCGAGGTCCAGTATCAACGAATACGGAAAAACTATCGTTGGATTTGGGAGCTGTTGCAACAGGAAAGACTTCCATGGCGAATCTGTTGTTTAGCAATCAGTAGGCTGTCTAAAGTTGGGTATAAAATGCCAGGTCAGTCAAATCCATTGTATCTAGAAGTCATCTGAGGCTGGAATTAACCGGATGTGCTCCAGGGCTATCACACAACAAACTTAAAAGATCAACTGACCCATTTACCGTCCAGCGCAA